AAAACCAAGATAAATAACTGTTCAGCAAGTAAAAATGATGTTTCAATTCATTTGCACTGTCTTTATCAAGAGGGCATGCTATTGCTACACTACAATGTCAATAGCCAAGGAATAATGTCAGACTTGCCTCTTTGACACGTACAACATGTCTCCCTTGGCATACATACAAACTGTTTGTATGTTCCTCAGCCTCAGCATGTTTGAAACCAGAGGCAACTCCACCTTCTTGAGGAATTATACATGGTTTGAAATAAGACAAGAATTTTTCAGTTTCATGACCTGTGATTCCCGATACTGTACAGCACGTCCTCCAAGAGCTGCATCCAGCTCAATCGTTTTGATGGCTGCAACGCCAGCTTCATCCTGGTTCAATTTACCTTATTTAGGAAGCATGTTGCAAGATATTACTGTAATTTTTACCCAAAAAAAAAAAAACAGCAGTATGTTAGCAACTAAACCTACAACCTACCTGACTGCTGTCTTTACCCAGCCAGTAATGGATATCATGACGCAGTGCACCACCTTTTGAAGCTGTTGTCTACACAGAGACGACAAGAAATTTAAAAGCAGAATAATAGCAATATTTTATAATAATAAAAAGAATCTTGATGTTTAAACGAACTTGATAAAAAGTAAACTAACAGATTAGCAATTATTCCCAACACTTGGAATCATCAGAAAACAAAACGATAGAAGTCCATAAAGTGCTGGAGAGGAGGATACTGAAACTTGAGTTAGAGACTTTAGTAACAATTTATATTCTAACCAAGTGGGAAACAAAGCTTTCAGGAAAGAAACGAAAAATTTATAATGAACTCAACTGATATTCATGCATGAAGAGAAAAGTATTTCTCACGTATAAAGACATTATTTTTCAAGCTATGGACAAACTCTGCACCAAACGCCTTTGGGAACAAGAGTTCCCATTAATGGCAGAACAGACATGAATTACCTTATTAATGGACCTAGTTATCCTTTTCTCGTACATGATAACAATCAAAAGGCTTGATGGGCTAAGTCTCTTAGCTTAAAGATCCGCTGTGAATCACTAGTGGAACAATTCTTGTGATCTTAAGATGAAGAAAAGATTCTATTCAAAAAAGGAAAAAAGATGAAGACACTGATGACATTGACAACTATAACATGGTCATGGTCATGGTCACCTATTAGTTGAGCAAATTGTCATTGCATCCTTATATGAGATGATATTAATGTCTTCATGTTCATAATCAAGTTACAGGACGAAATTCAATAACAAAGGTTTACGCCTGATATGATTTATCATATAGAATGAGATGCGCTGGGATATTTCAAATCTGCGGGTCTTAAAATATGCGTGTTCCTCCAAATGTTTAGAAAAGAATGAAAGCTGAAATTAATTTCACGTGCCATGACATATTAATGTTGTTTTATATGTCATACTGGCAATAGGTTAGTGCGCATTACGTGTCCAGTAATACAGAAATAAAAGCTTCTAGCAACTGCAGAAGCCAACATGAAAATAATGCTATCATGGAGAGGAAAAAAAGGGGTAAAACTAATGGCTTACCTTCAAGATAACGTAGGAATCCCCTGTGAAAAACGTCCCATAGGAGGAAGTCGGAACAGCAACTGGTTTTAAATTCTCAATGCGCCATATTTCAAGTCCACTATATATAGTTAAGAAGAACTAGGAAGAGATTAAAGCATGAAATCAAATTAACATAGAACAGAAGCAAAATAAATTCTCAAAGAAATCTTGTCAGGACTCTGTTTCTAGTATCAATCAATTTCAGAGGAAACTTAAACTGATAGAAAATGAGTGACTTTCTAGATGAGAATCTGATGAGTTGCAAACAGCACGATATGCTTATTTATTTAGGATACGCCTTTTGTCCAGCTCCCTGGAAAGCTGGATCCAAATCTCTCATGGAAACAGACATAATATTCTACTTTTCGGTCTCGTATAACCAAACTGGAATATAACAAAGAATAGCCTGAAATGGAATCATAAAACAAAGATCAAGCTTAGAAAGGTCAGTTGAACGGGTGAAGCTGATGAAGTGGATTGTCAATTGGAAAAGGAAACATAAATGTTTTTACTAATCGTTCTGGAGAGGAATTTCTGTTTCAGAAATTTTTTATCAGTGACATTAATCGGGAATTAGACAAATTAATCAAGAATTGAGCTAGATAATCCAAAATTAAGAGGATAACACAATAAAATGGTCTTTGGGTTAATGAAAAATAGCAAAACCTTGGCTAAATTATGATGTTTTATTTATTATATTGTTCATGCTACGCACAAGGTAACTAATGTCTAATGACCCAATGCTTCCCCATTTTCCACCCAATAAAATGGCTCATGCGAGGCCGCACAGATGCATGCAGAAGAGGAACAATTGCAAATAGTTTCACTGATGCAACGAAAGGTGCAGTTAAGCGTTCCACAGCATTAAATTACACAAGGTGACTCTCTCAAAAGCTGTTTCTGTGCAACTAACTGCCCGCTTTCTACACGCGAAGTATATTAAGTGTTAGCAAGAAGAAAAGACCAGAAATGCCAGAAATTTCCAGAGATGACATTCAAATGCTCACAGTTAACAACGGCGCAAGAACAGTCGCACATAAATACGCGGGTGACATGCACGCACATATGCATGCAACAGTGCAGTTGATCTTGGTCGTTTACATTTTCGGATTTTTCGATAACTTCGATATCCTCCGGTTTCAATTGCGTCAAATTTCACAGTATTTCACATCAAACAAAGAAACCTTTACTAGATTAAGTCGTCAAAAATAGCCTTTCTTGCACAGCCTTTGCAGTGAAACAAACTGTGTGACTTGGTTCAAACTCAAGCTAAACGCAGAAGAGCGTAGTTCGTTCATTTTTTTTTTATAAATATTTTCTTGTGTAACTGAAGCATTCAATGAAGCACGTTTCGTGTTCTAACATACCTGAAGATAGAAGCAGAGCAGCTAAAGAACGTGTCTTATTGAAGTCAACAAAAATTCAGAGGAATTCCATAAAGACGAAACCGAAATTGGAGGATCAAACTCAACGGTTGGTGAATCCAAATGATTAGCAGCACATGCATTCTAAGGAACAAAATCGCTGAAAATCATATGAATTTCGGGGAAGCTGAAGACGGGAAAAACTTGAGTGAGCAAAAATGAAGAAAGAAGAGTGCGCTAGTGGAAGAAGAAGGTAGAAAGACGAAGGAGTTTTGGAGGGAACGATGACGGATAATGCCAAACGTGCTTATCTCTAACGGCCACAAAAAGCCACACCACCCTACAGAGCTACGTGAACTGTAATGTAAAATCTACAATGAAAGACTCAGAGAAACAAACAAATTTTTTGTCTCTATATGGGGAAAGCAACATTGTTTAATTTGGAGGGAAACTACTGAAGAATCATGACGCTTGAGAAAATTACAGCCTGAGCGTAAATGGGGAGAAAAGGGGATTTCAACAAGAAAATCTCTTTCAGGTGACAAATGGGATGAATTGAAAGGCAAATCCAAGAACAACAAAAGCATTTCAAAAGCGTAACAAGCAAGTAAGTACCTTCTCACCAAATTCACCTACAGGAGAAAATCCATTGTTCTTGGTTGATCTGAATAAACATATAATTATTATTATTTTTTTAAATTCCACTGTAATAATTTTTATTTTCTGTTGGTGAAATGCAATTTCTTTGTTTAGTCTTCTTGTTGTAGAGGGATGTAGGAAGAAAGACTTGATGGATGGCAATGGAGGGAGCTGACTTCCGCATTGCGAGGAGTGGATGCGATAAAAGAGAGACAAACGGTGAGGCTAATGCTATTAATATTATCATTCAGTTCAAATCGCCATGAAAGCTTAAGGTGGTCCTACTTGCTAGGAACTTCAAAGAGAGAAAGCAAAGATTTTTTGAATTCCTGTTTGTATACAACAAGTCCTAAATATTAGGTAATGATGATGCCAAAATTATCCAATTAGGCTCCTCACAAGTTTAAGAACTTTCAAGTCGTTCCCTGTTATTTTCCGTACACGCTCTTCAAATTGACCCCAACAATATTTGGTACTTTTTTAATAAAGTGTTCATTATTATAAAAGTAAATATTTGGAGGTTTTAAATAAGAAAAATAATTATTAAAAAGTCTCAATAACAACTTAAATAACTATAATAACAGGTATCAAAATAGGAAACGAAAAAACTTATTTTGTAATTGTTTTTTTTTTAAAACTTCATTGAAATTCTTCCTAAAAAGATAGTGTTGCATAGGGGAGAGCTTATATTAGTAAATAAGTGAATCCAAATATATGCAATGTTGACAATAAAAATGAAAATAACTTTTTAAAAAAATTAGGCAGGTTGGCTTAATGGGTTCGGGTTGGTATTTGTCAATTTGCACTACTTGGTTCCTTGGCTATTACATACTAAGCTGCAATTCATAGGTCAACCCACATTCTCGGCTTTTTAACCACTAATATTTATACATTCAATTTAAACAAAAAAAAAAACAGAAAAACAACAAGAAGAATTTAATGGTGAGACCTTGTCTTACTTTTCATCCACTCCTCTCTAGTCATTAATGTAATACCTAATTAACTGATTTAGATATATTAAAGATGTTAGTTAAATACTTAGATTAGTTAATATAATACTACTTTCAGTACTTAATATAAAAACTAGTTGACTAATTTGAGTAAATTAAGAAAATTAGTTAAGTTAATTATTTGTAATAAATAGATGTTGCATTAATCAAATGTATTAACTAGAACTATCACTGTTACAATAATTATCTTAAAAAAATAAATAAATATGAGAGACAAAGTGGATTAGGGTCTTTAGGACCAAAATAAAAGTTAAATGAGCTCTTATATGAAAGATTGGAGGTAGTATATTTTTTTTCCTAAAATGCCCAAATTATTTTCCTTAATTATCTCCTTTTCTCTCCTACTTAATTATTATTAAAAAAATGTCATTAGAATTAATTTTTAAAAAAACTAATAAATATGTGAAATAGATCTTATATATAAAATCAATATTAGCCTATGTTGATAACCGAAGTATTATATAACTCGTTCCATCTTAAATGCTTCATGTAAAAAGCAAGATTGTGCATATGTGCATGTATAAATGTTCCGTCCATTGAAAGGTTGTTATAAGATAAAATTCTAGATTTCTAGTACCTCCGGTATCTTATCTAATTATTAAGATGAAAGGTTACAAAATCTCATTCATTTAAGTACATTTATGTCTCCGGTCAAAAAAAAAAAGTACATTTATGTCAAATCAAGAGTCATTAAAACTATTTAAATCATATGCAAATCAAATCAAACGCCATAAATATATTAGACGACATCCGCCAGTATATAAATCAAGGCGTGGCATCATTCACATCACAGCCCACCTTTCTAACTTTTTTTTCGGCCAAAAGCCCACCTTTCTAACTTAGAATTGTCAGATTGTAGGTGAACGACTGAACATGGCCAAGCTCTCCTTCGTATCCTGCGTTCTCTTTCTCTTATTTGTTGCCTTCGCAGGTATTGGTAAATATTTTTCGGCATATTTTTACATTCTATTTTTATTATAATCTAATGTGAAGTTAATGACTTTAGACAAATTTAACTATTAAGATAATATTTTATTATTAAGATGATGTTAGAGAAACAACAAATATAAGTTATAGTTTTTGGGATGTATAAGGTGGATCATTTCTATAAGTTACATTTTGTAGTCGTCTGAAAATCTAATTCACTTTGTTCATTTTTACCCCTAAATATTACATGCTTCTCTTATTTATTTTTCCCCTTATTATTTCTCTTCTTTTTTCCGGCTCTTTCTGCCTCTCACCCACACTCCCCATAAATAAGAATATATTTGAGAAAAATAAATTTATTATTCATTTATTGTCTTTAACTAATTTTTTTATCTACATAATTCATTTATTTATAACTTAGGTCCAATTTTTCAGTCAGATAATAAAAATTTACATCGATAAAATTTCAACATTGACCTAGTAGACCATTGTCAATAATAAAAAAGAAATCACACATAGCAATATTTGATTGGAAAATTGAACCTAATATAAGTTTTGTCCATAATTGACAAAACATTCTCAGACACATGCATATCGAATTTAATTTTAAAAAAATAACAATGATTGTTAAAAAAATTCATCCTTGAAAATTGCAGCACGGCAAAGCAGATTCAATTCATATTACTAATTATTTAATTCTAATTTTAATTTTATTAAACAGGAAATTTAATGGTTAAGGTGAGTGGGGAAGATTGCCATGAGGATTTGGGAGTATGTGATGCAGATTGTTTTGCGAGGTGCAAAGCGGCTCACCCAAAGGGACAAGGCTCATGTGTGGGCCCTCAGATCTGCAGGTGTCTGTTTAATGAGTGCAAGACTTGCAGTGAGCAATTGGGACTGGCTGGGAGTTGCGATCTGGATCGGTGCAAAGCTCAGTGTGCAGCCAAACACCCTAATCGCAAAGCTGTTGGTTCTTGCTATTCCGCTGGTGCTCCTTTTAGTAACTGCATGTGTGATTATGACTGCTGGTAATTAATTATTTCATTAATTAAGTTCTTAATCATCAAACAAAAGCCTCCTGGCTGCTAATGGCGATGAGTGGCTTCGGCTTATTGTAGGGCGTGTTAATTGTAATAAAAAATGGCAATTTATTATATGATGAGAAACGCATGTCTCTTACTTATTTGGATTATAAACATATATTATTATTTATCACTCTATTTGTTATATAATTATAGGGTATTTTTAACTAATTCACGCATGTAAGTAATGTTGGCGGCATCACCTGCAAAATAAATAATTAATCCGAGTCACATTCTAAGAATGCTGTCCTTAAGAGCTATTCCGTAACCACCAGTAGATAAGAATGCGGTACTCTCCAAAATTAAATAGATCCTTCGTGTAAAACAGGGTG